CGTACACCAAAGCATCTGGTTGAAGCTTACAAAATGACGCAAAAGAAAAATGATAAGCAACCGTCAAGAAAGGAATCTCATCACACCAACACTGATTTGCCTGAAGCAAATGCAGTGATGAATGATGATGATGATCTTTTAAAATATGAGCTTGAAGACTTTGGTGATCAAGAATGATCTGTCTTATGCTCTTGGTTTATGAACCTATTTTTCGTATCGTTTTTTTTTTTTTTTTTTTTGGATTATGAACTTATGTTTTTTTCATATCGTTTTATGACTTGATTTCTATGTTTTCTATTTTATCATGATGAATGGTTCACCTCTTTTTTTAACCTTCACATGCTATTTTTTGTACCAAGGCATTGGTTAATTAGTAACGAACAACCACTGTTCGAGAAGTAACCCCGAAGATCTTACAACATTACAAAGTTGTTGTTCGCACAATGGAGCATGAACCAACATTGTGTTTGGTGGATAGTGCAACCACGCATACTATCCTAACGGATATGAGGTTTTTTCGTACCTTAAACAAATCAAGTAGTAATATTACTACCATTTCTAATGATCAGGTACAAATAGTGGGCTCCGGAAGAGCATCCATCATCCTCCCTAAGGGTACAAAGTTACTAATTGAAAATGCTTTGTTGTACCCTCAATCTAAACGAACCTTGCTGAGTTTCAAGGATATTCGTTCAAATGGTTTCCATATTGAAACCAAGACTAAGAACAAAGAGGAGTTCTTGACCATGACTCAGTTGATCACTGGTCAAAAGCGGGAGGTTGAGGAACTTGCCTCTTTATCCTCTGGGTTATATTATACCTATATATAACCCAATGATTCATTTGTGGCACTTACCATGAAACTAAAAAATCCATATTCTTTTCAAATGTGGCATGACCGTCTGGGTCATCCTGGGCAGAATATGATGGGCCGGATCATATCTAATTCTGCTGGACATAACCTGTCTGGATCTCAGGTACTTTCGCCAAATATGTTTACATGTGTGGCTTGTGCGAAAGGTAAATATATTGTACGCGTGTCGCGTACTAAGGTTGGACATGAATCGCCTATATTTCTGCAGAGATTGCAGGGCGACATTTGTGGACCTATTAGTCTACCTTCTGGACCATTTAGATATTTTATGGTCCTTATTGATGCTTCCACTCGTTGGACTCATGTTAGTCTACTGTCCACGAGGAACAAAGCTTTCACTAAATTTGTTGCGAAAATTATTGAGTTGAATGCCCAATTCCCAGATTATCTCATTAAATCAATAAGAATGGATAATGCTGGAGAATTCACATCAACGGCTTTCAATGATTATTGTATGGCCTTGGGCATCAAAGTGGAGCATCCTGTACCTTATGTCCATACTCAGAATGGCTTGGCTGAGTCTCTGATTAAGCATATTAAATTAATCGCTAGACCATTACTGCAGAAGTCTGGTTTACCAGTCTCATGTTGGGGACACGCAGTATTACATGCTGCAGCTTTAATTCAAATCCGACCTAGTGCATATCATGATTATTCCCCCTTGCAACTACTACGTGGCGTAGAACCTAACATTTCCCATCTGCGTGTATTTGGGTGTGCAGTTTATACCCCCATACCACCTACAAATCGTACCTCCATGGGCCCGCAACGAAAACTAGGTATATATGTTGGTTATGAATCTCTTTCCATCATTAAATACCTAGAGCCCATGACAGGAGATCAGTTTACCGCGAGGTACGCTGACTGCATTTTTTATGAAGATCATTTCCCGGCATTAGGGGGAGATAAAAGACCTTATTTAACAAAATGCCGAGAAATCTCATGGGATGAAAATGATCTTCAGTATCTAGACCCACGTACTAGTCAAACTGAACTAGAAGTTCAGAAAATTATTAATTTGCAAAATTTAGCAAATAACCTGCCAGATGCTTTTACTGATAACAGAGGAGTGACTAGGTCCCATATCCCTGCTGTGAATGCTCCTTCGAGAGTTGAAGTCCCCGTGGGACCAAGTATGCACACTGACACTCCCCATCGCCAGAAGCGCGGGAGACCACTTGGTGCAAAAGATTTAAATCCACGGAAGACGAGAATTGGTAAAATATCTCAGTCACTCCAGAAAAAAGTTAACCGTCCTGAAGACGACCGTCCCGAAGACGGAGAACCCAGTGAACCTGCACGTGCTCTAAATAATACGAACACTGGGAATGCGGAACATCCAGATCAAAATATTTTGGAAAATGACGATGATCTGGTTGATGTCAATATAGAAACGGCCATAAATTTTGTTGATACAGGAGAAACATATAACAGAGATTTAATAGTCGTCGACGACACTTTTACCTATGCAGTTGCCTGTAATATTCCACAAAATAATCTGGATCCAGAACCAAAGTCAATCACCGAGTGTCGGAAGCGCTCTGACTGGTTGAAGTGGAAACAGGCAATTGAGGCAGAGCTCAACTCGCTTAATCAAAGAAAGGTTTTTGGTCCCACCGTACTTACCCCAAAAGATGTGATCCCAGTAGGATCCAGGTGGGTATTCGTACGGAAGAGGAATGAAAACAATGTGGTGGTTAGATATAAAGCGAGATTGGTAGCTCAGGGGTTCATGCAGAGACCCGGAATTGATTTTGATCAAACATACTCTCCTGTTATTGATGGCATCTCATTCCGCTATTTAATATCATTGGCAGTAAGTATGAAATTAGATATGCAGTTGATGGATGTAGTGACAGCTTACCTTTATGGGTCACTAGATGCTGATATATACATGAAAATACCCGAGGGTATTCAAAATTCCAATATGAGGGATAAAGATCGAAACATGTATAGCATCAAACTTCAAAGGTCATTATATGGCTTGAAGCAATCTGGTAGAATGTGGTATAACCATCTGAGTGAATTCCTCCTGAAGAAGGGATATGTTAAAAATGATATTTGCCCTTGTATATTCATTAAGAAGTCATCTAATGGCTTCTGCATTATATCTGTCCATGTCGATGACATGAACATTATTGGAACAAAGGAAGACCTTATAGAAGCATGTTCATGCTTAAAAGCAGAATTTGAAATGAAAGACTTGGGAAAAACCAAGTTCTGCCTCGGCCTGCAGATCGAGCATCTTCCAAATGAAATTTTCATTCACCAAGCCAACTACATTAATAAATTATTGGAGAAATTCTATATGGATAAATCTCATCCCCTTAGCACCCCAATGGTGGTCTGATCCCTTGAAGCGGAAAAGGACCCATTTAGACCTAAGGAGGATAATGAGGAGGTTCTAGGACCTGAAGTTCCTTACCTAAGTGTTATTGGAACCTTGCTTTACCTGGCTAATTGCACAAGGCCTGATATTGCCTTTTCAGTGAATTTACTTGCTAGATTTAGTGCATCTCCGACCATAAGACATTGGAGTGGAATAAAGCATATCTTTAGATATCTCCAAGGGATAAAAGACCTTGGTCTTTATTTTGAAAACAACCAGGACATTACTTTGAAAGGGTATTAAGACGCTGGTTATATGTCTGACCCTTATACTGCTAAATCGCAAACTGGTTATGTTTTTCTTTGTGGAGGTACAGCTATATCTTAGAGGTCCATTAAACAGACCTTAGTTGCTACCTCATCTAATCACTCGGAGATAATTGCTTTATATGAAACCGCACGCGAATGCGTATGGTTGAGATCACTGATACAGCATATTCATCGCTCATGCGGAACAATGAGCAATGTTGATTCCCCGACTGTCCTATATGAGGACAATGCGGCATGTGTTGCACAGATGAGTAATGGGTACGTTAAAGGAGGTCTTACTAAACATATTGCTCCTAAGTTCTTTTACCCACATGAACTCCAGAAGAGTGGTGAAATACTCATTGAAAAGGTTCGCTCTAGTGAAAATCTGGCAAATTTGTTCACTAAGTCCCTGCCTACATCCACTTTTGAGAAGTATGTTTATAAAATTGGGATGCGGAGTCTAGGAAGACTGTTGTCTTCAGGGGGAGCGATAAACTCGGTCTAGGAGACTTTTAAATCCTGAAGATGATGCCCAGAAGGCTTATGGTTGTACTCTTTTTCCCTTAGCTAAGTTTTTTTTTCCCACTGGGTTTTTCTTAGGCTAAGGTTTTTAACGAGGCAACCGATGCAACACATGATTGATACTACATGTACTCTTTTCCTCGACTAGGTTTTTCCCACAGGGTTTTTCTAGCGAGGTTTTTAACGAGGCATGAGTATAATTATTTAATGGTCAAGGGGGAGTGTTGTAAATATTTATATTTATGGCCATTAAACTATTTAGACCTTTCATTTGCTTATCATTTAATCATGTATTGATGTTGTGTACTTGAAAGGTTGTATATGACCACTATATAAAGTGAGTGAAGATGAATGAAAGGGACACACTTACATGATGGTTATACTATAACTTGATGTTCTTCTACTCCTCCTTTTTCTTCTCTTTACATATACAAACACACATACATATATATATACGCAATTCCGGGTGTATAATTGTGCAAGCATCACGCGGGGACTAACGAGTGAAAAGGCCAAAACTTAACAAATAGGATATTTTCATTTTATGGGTTCAGTAAAAATTATTTACATGAACCGGTCATTCCGGTTCGCGATTTTAATAAACTCTAAATATCGCGTTTTGATTATAAATTGTAATTGAAATATTTTGGTTTGGTTGCTATAGTATCTGTTTGGTTTGAACCAAATTATAGTAATAATTTGTTAGAGAATAAAAATAAATAAAATATTTATTTTAAGGGTAAATATGTCTATTTAACATTACAGGAGGAAAAAGGGCCACTTAAATAATTGAGGGGGAAAAAGTACTATAAGTATATAACTTAGGGGGAAAAAGTGTTATTTTCCCTAAATTTTAACAATTTCATCCAATCATGGCTATGAGAAGAGTTAAACATTGAGTAAGAAACAAATTAAACTTGAGACGACTACAGTTGATCAATAATAATAATAATAATAATAATAATAATAATAATAACAACAGTTAAAATAATCAGTAATTAATCAAACCAGATCTAAAGAGTTAGATCAGAGTAGGCTTTGGAGCCAAGATAAAACACAAGATTAAAGACAACTACCAAAATTAATGTACTACAACAATACTAATCCTCCACTAATAGTAATTTTATATAACAATAATAATAATATAATAATCAATAATTATATCAGTGCTCAATTTTGACAGGAAAATTGGCTCCCAATCCTAGCCATGCCCTGCTCTCTTCAACCTGGGAAGAAGAAGAAGAACCTGCCTTGGGACTGCTCATCATCTGGTATGGATAGGGGCCCTTTGAAACAATCCTGCAAATCAAAACAATCAAATTTAACCACAAATTTTTACAGTTTTTGGGTGCAATAATTACCCCAATTAATTTAACCATGGAATATAATTTTCACAGATATGATGCCTACCTATCCTTTCTCTTCTCAAAGAACCTGGCCAGTGATTTCTTCCTTGCAATAGGCATCTCTGCAATACACAAAAAGATTTAAATCAGGTAAGTATATTTCCCAGAATCAGAGTAAAGAAAGAAGTTAAAGAAGCAAGAAATAGGAAAAGTTACCAGAAGCAATTTGCTGGGGTGGTCTTTGGTTCACAAAAGAAGGGACAACCTTTGGAACAGGAGCTGAAGATTCAGGTAGCTTCGGAGCCACCGAGGTTGTGCCTCCATTGCTGCTGGCAAGAAGCATGATTTCTTTAGCCTTGTCTGCTGGGAAATCATTGAACACAATCACTTGCCCACCGTAGAAAATCGTCATTTGTGCCTTTTCTGGGCCAGCCTTGGTCACACTGTATCAAAAATGTACCCAGTTAATTGTCGGTCAGCAAAGTTTTCGACAAGATTAAGGTAAAGTTTGCATCTTTATTTTTTGGGTAAACCAAAAAGAAAAGAAAAGAAGGGGTACCTTGTGTCCATCTTCTTTGTGGATTCTTCTCTGGTAGGAAACAAGTTCATGGGTTTGTGAACTGAGTTCTGACCCGATTTCTCAATCATTGGCAACAGATCCATTGTGGGTCTCGGATTTCCTGTTTCCAAAAACCAAAAAAATGAACGCTAGTTCAACATACATTCATGAAGACAAGAACCGAAAACCAAAATCACAGACAAAACGACAGCAAACTAGGAATCTTCAAACAAAGACCACCATTCACAACAAATTTTAAGGAAATAAACCCAGAGAGAGTAAAAAGGCGCATAGATTTCAGTGATTAGATGCGCACCTGAAGGAACAAAATTGCGGGAAAGGCCGAGGCTGAGATCACCGAAGGAGCCCTTCTCCTTCAAGTACTGGCTCAGGCGGTTGCAAGTGTGGGAGAAGTTGGACTTCTGGCCGGCGAATCTGCCGTAATCTGAAACCTCCGACGAACTCATGTTTCCCGGCGAACGATAAAAACCCTTTTCACCAATCTTCTTTAAACTCTAATAATCAATGCTATATTTCCTCCACGATGCACTTTGTTGCTCATAATGAAGCACATGCCTGTATGTATATTTATATATATGTGTGTGTGTGTAAAGTCTGTATGTAACGGCTGACCGGTTGCGGCTTCCGACGGGTTAATGGCCCACATGCGTATTTAATTTTTATTTTTTTTATTTTCGAATAGAAAATGAAATGTCGGGGCGTGTTTGTTTGAAAAATTATTAAACAAAAATAGGTTTGAAATTGCGGAGTAATTTCATTAAAAGACGAGGAGGCATTTCAAACACGTGTTGTTTAGTTCTGACATGCGCTGTGCGTTGCGTGTGTATTTTTCCTTTTCCAATAACTGCCCCTGTGTTTCCTGGAATTTACGCCTTTTGCCACTCCGTTAATCTTTCCGTCTATTCCCCTTCCCGCTCACGATGTTGGAACTTGCCAACTTGGACGAATAGTGTTCAACATTTCACAAGTTTTTAATGGATATTTTGAGGAAAAAAAAATTGTATTCTACTACTTAAATTATACGGATTAATAATATTCTTAAAATTAATTATTAATAAAAAAAAATATCTAAACGCCATTCAAACATAATAAACTGACAGATTTAGTCACATTTGGATGCTAAGAATTATTGATACCAATAATATTTAATGAAAGTCAATTAATGTGTAACCATATATGGTTACTATATTATGAAGTTTTTAACAATTTGAGTATAAACATTTTAGTCAAATTAGCAAACTAAGATCATCCACAATGGTTTTTTTTGCTTCTTTTCAAATTGTGGGTTCAACTCCTCCACATCCAATCGTTATGCTATGGACCTGTGTCTAGCATGCATGCTAGACACGGGTAACAGTGCCGTTAGGCACTGTTATCTCTTTTTTTTTTTTTTAATTCCAAACCGCTTCGTTATATGAGTATATGTTCATAATTTTATTACTATATGTTAATAACTGTACATTCATATCTCCATAACTGTACGTTCATAACTCTATAACTGTACATTCATAACTGCATAACTGTACATTCATAACTCCATAACTGTACATTCATAACTTCATAATTGTACATTCATAATTTTCGAAGCTCTATGTTCACAATTTTAGAGCTCTATTTTCATAATTTTATCACTATATGTTCATAATTGTAAGTTCATAATGTCAGAGCTCTTTGTTCATAATGCGATCAATAACTGTACATTCATAATTTCATAACTGTAGTTTCATAATCTCATAACTGTAGATTCATAACTCCATAACTGTACATTCATAACTCCATAACTGTACATTCATAATCTTCGAAGCTCTATATTCACAATTTTAAAGCTCCATGGTCATAATTTTATCACTATATGTTCATAATTGTAAGTTCATAATGTTAGAGCTCTGTGTTCATAATTTCATAATTGCATAACTGTACATTCATAATAATAATAAAAAAATAATAATAATAACGCCGTTAACAGCAAAACACGCGCGATTTTTTTTTTTTTTAACTAAATGACGCCTTTTTTTTTTTTTTGAAAAACGACGTCATTTTGCGCCCGTGTCCACAATTCGTTGTGAACACGGGTCCAGGGCATAATTTGCCCTCCACATCACCTTATAATCTCTCATCATATTTTCTCTTTAATCATTCTCTCATTTTTTTTTTTTTTTTTTTTGTGGCATTCAAACTCCAACACATCATCTATGCAATATTACTTTATTCACTTTTCTATAATTAATAATTTCAACTTTATAATTATAATTTTAATTTTAAATAAAAATAAATGTAAATAACAAAATTAAAAACAAATTTTATATTATAGCAAAAATTAATAAAAAATATAATAAATTAAAATAAATTTTATTATAGAAATATATAAAATAACAAACAAATTAAAAAAAAAAAAAAAAAAACTGAACTGACTTGATTTCAATTAAATAAAAAGGAAATCAAGCTGAAACGACTTGATTTCAGTTACATAAAAAGGAAATCATGCTTGATTTTGGTTCAAAACATGATTTATTTTTTTAATAATATATAGCAGGTGGTGGGGGACAAGTTGTCTCCCATCATCTCGGAGTATGCATGGCACGTGAGTGACACGCGCCACGCACCTCTATGCTTTTTCTCCGGAGATAACTTTCTCGCTGGAGATTAAACTCTTCTCCCCTCAACAACTATTTCCCCCTTTCTCCTTGGTTGGATATGCCATAATAATACAAAAATTTAAATTTAAATTCGATTACAATGCAAATACATATTATTTATATTACAGTATCTTGAAATTCTAAGAGTTTTTAGACATAATTATTAGGCCCATGATATCATGATATCGTTGAGTTTTTCCATAGTGTGGTTGCGTCTATAGCTTCCACAAGCCTATGGCATACTCAATGGCATTTAAAGTTGTCACCATTCACATAATATCAAAATTTGACTAGCTAGTATGAGTTAATGTAATCATGTCAATACAAGTGGATTCGACAGACCGATTGAATTAAGTAAATACTCAATATTTCATCAATAACAATATTGATTTCATTTTTTTTTTGAGTTGTTTTATTGGTATAATTTTTAACCGTTCAGTCTTATTCAAAATTTTATATTTTATATTAAACTAATTTTATTTAATATTGCACATAATCTCAAAAAACAGACACCTTCTAATTTAGTGTGCTCGTGAATATATGATTTAGATGTAATCAACTTATTTCCAACTAAGACAAGTTAGTAACACCGAATTAAATAGGAATTTACTTGATTAGATGATATAATTAGATAGAGTATCAAAAACAAAAATTGTGTTTGAAGTTATCAAAAATTTGTAATTTTTACATAATTCTCACAAGACATAATTGCTTTAATTTTTCAATTATTACCAATAAAAATTTTAATTTGATTGTCTTCATTTTACCAATAGTTAATTAATATAAAAATTACAATACTTACTATAACTCACACTATTTAAAACAACATTTATTCTAAATTAAAAAATTTATATATGAAGTAAATCTTAATTATAACTTAATTCTGAATTTGTAAATCTTTAATATTAACACCTAATATTGATTATTATTAAGATATATAAAATTAATACAAATTTTACCATGTCGATAATGTATAATAAAAGAGGTGGTTATATTTTTATAAATAGAATGAAAATTATTTATGAATATATATAATTGTAGAATATTAAAAAAAATATCTGGACGTTGACGACTTGACGGCGTTATCAGGGCTCATCTTCCGTTAAGTTTCGTCGGTATATTTTAAGTCGGCTTTTACAAAGTACGACCGGAAGTGGGGTACCACTCCCCCAATGCATGCTTTCCTCGATTCTCAATAAAACTTTATTTCTCCGTATTTAAAAAAAAAAAAATTATTCTTTGTTTTAAAAAAAAAATTATTTTGTTTGAATAAAAGCTGGTATCGACAAGTCCACATTCCTCTTGCCCAATCACATTCCTCCATGTGTACGTAATGCGCGTGAAGCCGAGCCGAGCCGGGTGCAGCTCACGAACAAGTGGCTACGCGCACATGCTGTCCGTTCCGAACGGATTCGGCGACACGTGGAGCAATCTGGGAAGGGGTTGACGGAGAAGCGGTGACGCTTTTCTCGTGAATGGCGATGTGACGTGGAGGGAAGCATGTGAAGAAATTTGTTATCGAAATAATCGTAACGTAAATCCTGGGGCGATCAACTTGGGACGTTGGGTGGGTCCCGCAACAAATTCGTCACGTTATCTTCGTGTTTACGCCTCGCGTTGCTCGCTTTCGTGACTAATTATTTTACACTTTAATTATTATTATGAAGTATTAGTTATCACACGCGCATTACACGAATAGTATAATACTTAATGTGTATTTTTAAGTTAGTGTTTCAGAATTTATCAAAGTATGATTCAGTACCTTGGCGTATATCGATGCAAGATCATCAAATTTTTCATAAAATAACTATTTCAAAAATGCATAATTATAAAATATGACCGAAATGTTGGATTAACGGGTGTAATAACAGTTTTAGAGGGAAGTAGCCTCACTTGATAGTATCCAAATATAGTTTTGCAACACAAAATCCTATTAATTGGCATGATCCATGCTTCCTCTTGTTGCCACCTCCGCCAAAAATGAATTCTTGATTTCATCGAATCCTGGTGTGCTTCACTGCAATTTTAGTGTTTTGACGCAGTGCACCTTCAAAAAACATAATCAATTACTCGATCATTCCCAAAAAGACTATGATAATATGCATAATTTCTTATTTGTGTTAATATATACTGTAAATTAGGTCTACCATTTAATCATTGCTCAGTGCGTGATTTTAATTAATTGACCAAAGTTCATGTTCAATTTTATTTTGTGTTTTTCTAGTGCACTCTAACATGCTCATAATATATGTTTAACAATTATGTCAATTTTGATTGAAATGGGGTTCAAACCTAAGACTTTCCTCATAAAAATTAATGAGTAAGTTAACAAAAATAAATATTTAACGAAATATTCGGTTAATAAAGTTAACACACTAAGTACTGACAGAATGCATAGTATTTAGAAAATGTAAATCATATAATATAGGGTAAAATATAAAAAATATTTTTTAAAAGAAAACTAAATCAAAATAATGTGCATTCAAAAAAAAAAAATCAAAATAATGTAAATCATTCATTTCAACTAACAATTACACCAACATTTTTTTTAGTTCCTACTAATAGTCTAATTTTAATGGCTCTTATTAAGTTTGTATATAATTCTTAGTCTTTACAAATGTTACTCCAGAATTGGTTTAAAAAATCTTTTTTAATAAAAAGAAAACCTTTGATGAAAGTATTTTTGGTGTGTAGCTATTCAGAAAATAAAATTGACAATAAATATTTATTTTGGTTATGAAAAAAGGTCAATTTTTGCACCATTGTTTTACCTCAAAATATTTTTAGTACTATTGATTCTATTAGAATGTAATATCTGTTGAATATGTTTTCTCAATCAGTTACAGCTCAAAGAGTAAAATACTCGAAGAAAGTTAAAGAGGTATCAATTGAATACAAAGTGCTTAACTTGTCTACCTTTACTT